GAAAACACTCAGTCGTGACTTTACTGCAGGAAGGTGTTCGGCTACCACAGCAGCACCGGACGGACTTTTTCTCACACAATTTGCTCCTCGTCTCAGATAAAGTGCAGAAGCTTTCAAACGTGCACGTGAAGTCAATACAAAACCACTTGTAACATTTAAATATGTCTCAACTATGTCAACTTTAACTGTGCTACAAAAAGAAGTAAAAGAAAGTAAAAATCACCTGGACCTCCAGCACACCAGTATCAAAAGATTGCACGTAAAGGTTTTAAAAAAGTCAGAGTGCTTACAGTCATTAGGAAAGAATCGTTTGATAGCAAATGTCAACATTTAGACAACAGCTGAGAGAATAAACTGGAATGTCAGTCTTGAGTGCGTCACACAGATTTATTTACATTTGATGACTTTTGAGTTTGTTTTCAGACGCTGCCCCCTCGCCTGCAGCTCAGCCTCCCTGCTAACTGCTAACTGGCTAGCCTGTATTTTTCTCCCCATCTCTGATTCTTAACAATAAAATAAATCTAACAAGTGAAGTATTTACTGAGAAAAACTCAAACTTAAGTGCTGCTCCTCCAGCACTGCGCGTACCCCTCGCCCACAACGAAACGTGGGAAACGCTGAAATACTTGAATCGGTCGGGAAAATACTGAAATCACCACCATGTCTGGGTTAAGTAGCAGCAGGCTGTTAGCTTAGCCTGGAAATGGTCACGGGCGCGGGCCGCGTCTCCGAATGGACTAAATTATTTGGCCTTCCTGGATCGAAGGCGCCTCTTGATGATCTGATGGTCGCTCTCTTTCTCCTCCGGCTCTCTGCTGATGATCTGAAACGAGACCAAACATTAGAGCCCTCAGATGAAAGCCGCCTTGTGTTTCACAGACTTTTCTCTCGGTTTCCTCTGTCAAAGAATTTTTCCACACCTGTGCTCGCTCTTCTAAATATTATTGGGTGAAGTCTAATCTGCCCTCCCCCTCCTGAGTGGAACCAATGGTTTTATACTAAAGACATAACTCTGTGATCACTCTATAAATGTCTCCTGTGGTCTTTCAGGCATTTAGTTGTTGCTGAGCTGGTTTATTTTTTCAGGATGATGTCGGTCCGTCTCTTTAGACCTCGTATTGAGAGTTCCAGTGAACAGCTGGAAAATGCCAGTATGACACAGGCCTCACATGACCGTAACCAACTGGACTCCATTGTCCAGTTGGTTACCTGTGACT